GCTGATAAATGATGGAAAGTGGCTTGGTGAGCACTTCTGCCAGCTCCCTCAGTGCCCTTCGGTGGATCCCATCCGACCCCATAGAACTGTGTGTGTCCAAGTGGTATAGCAGGTCGCTGACCATTTCCCCTTGGTTTATGGGGGCTTCATTCTGCTCCCCGTCCCTGTCTTCCAGGTCAGGGGGTTGGGTGCCCCGAGAACAACTGGTCTTACTAGTAAAGACTGAGGCAAGGAAGGCATTAAGTACCTCAGCCTTTTCCTCATTCTTTGTCACTATGCTTCCCCCCACATCCAGTAAAGGATGGAGATTCTCCTTAGCCCTGCTTTTGTAGCTAATATATTTAGAGAAACATTTTTACTGTCTTTTATGGCAGTAGGTGGGCTTTGGCCCTTCTAATTTTCTCCCCGCATAAGCTCACAACATCCTTGTAGTCCTCCTGAGTTGCCTGCCCCTTCTTTGAAAGATCATAAAACTCTCCTTTTTTTCCCCTGAGTTCCAGCCAAAGTTCTCTGTTCAGCCAGGCTGGTCTTCTTCCCTGCTGGCTCGCCTTTCAGTGCATGAGGACGGCCTGCTCCCGTGCCTTTAAGATTTCCTTCTTGAAGAATGTCCAGCCTTCCTGAACCCCTTTCCCCTTCAGGACTCCTTCCCAAGGGACTCTCAACCAGGCTCCTGAACAGGTCAAAGTATACCCAGCAGAAGTCCAAGGTAGCAGTTCTGCTGACCCCCCTCCTTACTTCTCTGAGAATCACAAACTCTATCATTTGCTTTGAAGATGCCCTCCAACCATCACATCACCCACAAGTCCTTCTCTGTTCACAAACACCAGGTCCAGTGGGCTCCTTCCCTAGCTGGCTCCTTCACCAGCTGTGTCAGGAAAGTCTCCTCCACACACCCCAGGAACCTCCTGGACTGTTTCCTGTAGCTGTATTGTATTTCTGGTAAGTTGAAGTCCCCCACGAGAACAAGGGCTAGCGATCATGAGATACGGGAGCCAAACAAATCATACAAGACACATCCGTCCACAAGGCCATCGGCATGTCAGGAATGTGGCAAAAAGACAGAGTAACCCTTCCAATGAAAAGATGACCTGAAGATGCATAAGTGGATATTTAGGTAGATACTTCTCTGCCTTTTTTTATTTATTAAGCCAACCACCACCAGAGGCAAAAGCCTAGCAGCTAAACTGCCCAAAGTTCCTACCAGCCAGCCTATCTAAGGCAGCAACCAAGAAACCATCGCAAAAGGGATAGCCAGTATGATATCTGCCCACTTCAGATTTCGGGTGAATGACTCTTATTAAATACATCCTTGTCCTGAAAAGCTTATACTATTTAACGAAAGATATGCACAGGACACTAATATTTGTCATTTATCCAGTTGAGCAATAAGAAAATATTATAGCTGCAAAACAAAAAATCTGTTACCTAAATAGCCAAACAAACACCCCTCCCCAAAACCACCAACAGAAAAACCCCACACACCTTTGCAGTTGTCATAAATGTGGAAAACATCTCGACTTCTTGTTATCAGTTTCTTGTCTACACATTGAAAAATATTAGAAGTGCTCCCACTGTGCAAGGATGCACAGCAGGTCTGTGCTGTAGAAGGGATGCTCAAGTACAGGGCAAAGGGTTGGGAAAGCATTATTTTGAGGGGGGACAACTCTGCTAAAGAGTGGAAGGTACCATTTGAATGTAGATGCAAAAATCTTAAGATAGTTGGATTTATGGGGAAGCAACCCCCAGAAGCTCTTTAAAGTACCTTTAGTTTATTATTATTATTATTTAAAAACAGCCTGAAAAGATAGGAAAGTCACTTGTTGAGGCAATTGATGGGGTTTTTTTTGGTTTTGTTTTGTTTGTTTGTTGTGGGGGTTTTTGGTTGTGTTTTGTGTTCGGTTTTTGTTTGTTTGTTTTTGAGTTTTGTTTTACCCCCTGGTTTGGTAGTGGCATCCATCACAACTAAGAACTGAATTGAAGCATCCTAAAGACAGGAGAACAAGACTAGCATGATGAGTCTCTGTGATGTGTCAGCAGATTATTTTTTAAAGTATGGATAGTACAAAAGTGTTAGCAGGAGTACAAGTCACGTATTTCCCATGCCCTCACCACTTACAGAATGTCTGCTGAAATTGAGTTAGTGTTGGTGCTTCTGGAGCAACGTTGTAGAAATGGGTCTTCAGGGCTCCGCTCACAAGCAGGTTGTATGCGAGGTCTGTTATGTTAATGCCCACGATAGCAAAAGAATAGCTGTAAGAAAAAGAAACAGCAACATTTGTTGAGTCTGTCTTCTTTCAGCACACTATAAGAAACACTGATGACACTGACTCTGCAGATTTTGTGTGCTACTGATGTGTATTAATTCTGTCCTTCATGAGCTTCCAAGGTTGGGGGGGGGGGGGGGGGGGGGAGAAGGGTGGGGGGGGGGGGGGGGTGGAAAACAGGAAAAACATTTATCCTGCCTCTTTGTACACTCTAATAGCAGTGTTCCTCTTGTGAAACATATGGTTGCAGTGAAAACAGGAGTTTCATCACTGTGCCAGCATTTTCAGTGGAGCAGTGCAGATTTATTCCTATGGAATAAGAACAAGCCCAGGCATCCCTGTGCTCCTGCGCTCGCCTCTGACACAGGGCAAGGACTCCACACGGTGGTTGTGTCTGCAGGGTGGCCCATCACTTGCTATTTTAACTCATCTGCCCCACTGGAATTCATCACCCACAGTTAGGAACATCAGGTTTCAACAATCAGTTCTATAAAGATGTTCATATGCCTAAAAAGCCTGTGAAAAAGATCCAGCTGAGTCACCTTGAATTTTCTCCTAACAGTGAACTAGATACACAGGCCAGAAAACAGGCAAAAACCTAGATCAGAGCACGGTAGAAACAGAAATAAGAAAGTCAGACTCATGAAGCAAACTCCTGTCCTGCGAAGAGATAATCAACAAGGAAATTATATTTAGGCACAACAGAACTAAGAAATAACTTCCAATTTTTGAATTTGTGACCCTGTTGCACAAAGAACTTGACATTTCTGGCAGTGATTGTTTCCCAAGAAAACATGTAGTGTCCCACACTGACATTTAGCGATAAAAGAAAACTTGTTTAGTCATTCAGTGATTTCCCCCCCCTCCCCCTCCTCTAAACACAGCTGTCTTCTGTAGGCTGTCCTGGGTATTTTTTCAATTATCTCTATCAAGTAAACCAAAACACTTTCCTTTTCTTTAACCTTTAATATAAAAAAAAAAAATAATAAATAAAAGTCCAAGAGTTATTTGCAATATGAGGCCTAATGGCAAGTTTCACAGAAAAATGAAATATAGGCATTGAAATGCTGTATTACAGATTTTCAGATACGCTCAGAGGGAACATCCAGTTCCATACTCATGAATAATGCAGCTACAGCAAACCCACTGCTTAAGAAGAAATAAAAACCTCGCTACTATTTCTTCCCTATTATACTTCCCTGAAAGCAGATCAGAACCTGGCTCTGACAGTAAGAAGTGAGACTTGATCACATTATGTATTAAGAAGAATTAAACAGATATTCATCACCGCACTATTCATAGCATACAGAGAAAGCTTTGCCTTGCTACTACACTTTTGGGTTATTTTTCCTAATTCTTACTTTAAACTGTTTTTCCTGTAATCTTTGATCAAAATCAAGGTGTGGTTAAGACAATACATGTTAGTATGTACACTGAAGTTTCCTTTAAAAAGTAACCAGGAAACACCTTTTTCCCCTCAAATGTACAGCATAATTGTTAACAGTTGTGTTTGTGCAACTTTGAAAAGATTTTTAAACTTACCCAATTGCCTTATCAAACTTTTTCTTCTCCCATTCGGCTTTGTTGAATTGGCTGAGGGGGAAAAAAAATAATAATAATTAAAATCCAGATATTGCCATGCATTACTAACTGACAAATATTTTCTTTCAATTTCTTTGATATTATAACATTGATTGAACATGGTATTTTACCTCCATTGATGTGGCTAATCACATTTAACTCTGCTTCTGAGTGAATGGATTGGTATAAAGAGACTTGAAATGTGTAACTGGCTTTACAGCATTGCAGATAAACTCGTCTCACCATTACAAAGTATGAGTCTACGACAAAGCTCTCGGTAAAAGCCAGGTTTTTTTCTGCATTGACCACAAAGATGATCCACTTCAATTAAGTCTGAGCTATACAAAAAGTTGAAAATATTGTATGTCTTTTAACTAATCAAAGATGGTTTTAACCTTTTTTGTTTTCAAAGATATATATGACATTCATCACTGGAGGCATGATTCACCTGAGGCAGCAAACATCAAAAAATACTCTTCTGAGAGAAAGTTTTTATGTCCAGCCAAATTTGAAACCACTCAACAGCCAAAACCAAGGAACAGCATTTCCTCTTATTTGGCACAATAATGCAGAGGTTTTCAAGGACACAGAAAGTCCCTCCCTTAAAATAAAATTAGTTAGAGAACAGATAGATTTTACACTAAATTTCTGCTGTTCAACAATAATTTCATTTAAAAGAGCTCTGTGATGCAACCAGTCAGCCGACATCCCACTAAGCAGGTTTTAGTCTACTCAAACGGAGCATGTTTAACAAATCATTGCCTGTATTTATCACCAGCTAAAAGCAGACACAGAACTGACCCTAACCAGTGGGCTATAACTTAGACATGCCTGTGGGAGTTTTGCCTCGGTAAGGCAAATCAGAGTTTGCATGATTTACATCCCAAATTATAGACATCTATATCTGCAAGTGTTGTTCTTGGACTATAATTGAACTACAATAAGTATATATTACCCTAAAAACAATACCTTGAGTTTCATTTAAATACAGTATTTAAAAATTGTTGCCATTAAATATTTAAGACGCTAATAGGTTCATACCCATCCTGATCTGTGTTACCAGGTTGCACACGTGAGGACAAAACTTCACCTCCTAAATGGTTTAGCGTACAGGAATACATCAGTCTTCACTCATTCGCTAAAGCCTTAACCATCTTTTGTAGGCTGTGGTATAACATCAGTTAAAAAAAAACCCAAGCAAAAACATAAAGGTGACGCATGTAGGATGTGGACAAGCAATACAGTTCAACAGAATCAGAAGTTACATTGATCATGATCCCATCAGAAAGCAGCGTGGCTGCTAAGCAACCACACCAGGAAGAACACCATGGGCACCACCAGCAGCATCTATCTTCTACTGAATGCTGTTTTAAGAGATAGAAATTGCAGATGCTTGCACAGTACTCTAAGACAGTCCTTGGTAATCAAACATGTAAATGAAGAACATTAATGTGTTCCAAGTAGTTTTTGTCACAGAATTACCATTGGGAGCTCAACTACAAAATACTGAGGAGATCAAAAGCTTCATAGGATTCAGATGTGGACCTGCTATGTGGTTATCTAACATTACCGGCAGAAGAAAAATGTCTTTTAAGGCAACTGATTACTATTTAACTGGCTAAGAGGCATCCCTCCCCCCTCCTAATTATGGAATTAACCTCCTATTCACAAGTCATTCACAACACAAAATTTTTGCCACTTGAAGGTACCTGATCTGTCAACAGTCAGGACAAGGGACTAGTCAGATTAGACCCATCATTAGTCAAGGTAGACAGAGTATGTGACTATAAATAAAGGTGCTAACAAGTCCTTAGCCTAGACTACTTTTGATTATCAAGCCAGACAAAGCTGTTGTGACCACAGTGGCCCTGCTTAGACCTTTTTCCTACAGATAGAAGTCACCCAAAATTTGTTCGTTAAGCCTGGTATTAAATAGGGCTAAAATACAGTGCTTTAGCTACATCAAGCAAGGTTGATTTCATTCTTTACATGTAAGCACGCTCCGATGTACCCAGTGTTGCACCATCAGCTACGTCTGAATTAACTTTAGAGAAAGGAATCTGGATCTCTTGGTGTTGCAACAAAGACTTTCAGTTTATAACATGCCAAATTGTAGGATGGTTTGATCTTTATTTACATATAGGGTCACATAAAACTAAGAGAAAAGGAAAAAAAAAAATACCTTAGTTCCTTCTTAGTGACTTCCCTTCGTTATGAAAAGACAAAAGAATTAAAAGAAAGGTAAATAAAAATACAAAATCACTTGAAATTAGAAGTATAAGTGAAAACATTTAACACTAAGTTTAACTATTTCTAAGATTCAGTATACAAGTTTGCCTCTTTGACTTGACCAGTTTTCAGGATCAGATCAGTACTTGAAAACAGATAGCATGTGGCAATACCCAAGCACATGCCCAACAAAAAGGAAAAAAAACAAACCAGCCCCCTCCCCCAAATACCAGCCGGCACAGTGCTCTCTCAAGTTATTTTTCTTGTCTCAAGCATTACCTGTATTTAGGCTGAAGAGAATCAGAGAGAACTTGCTGAGCTATCTCAGTGTCCCATTCGGCAAAATACCTGCAGATATATACGTTTAGGGTGAACTGTTAAAGAAACACAACCAAAAAAGCATCTGAAGGCATACTAAGCTGTCCACTACACATATTACACAGTACGAGTAGCATTTAACGTGTTAAATTCATTAAGCTACCACTCAGATCCCCAAAACAAAAGATAAAAGCAGCTTCAAACTACAAGTGCAATTCTATAAGCGCTTAGTGAATGTGCGTTACCAGAGTCCCCTTTCCATCCACCCTACAGACAACCAGCTGCTTGTTACTAGAGCATGCTGGCTGTGGAGCTCGAGAGAAAGCAGTTCAGGCTTCTTCGTCTGGCAGATTCATTAAGCAAGATAAGAGTCATCACAGGAGACCAAGAAATTAAATACATGGTAGGGATTCATCTTCAATGGCAGTTCAAAGCCAGAGTCAAGAGTCCAGATTCTCAACTGAGCTTTGCTAGACAACGACATATGGACAGTGGATGATTTATGCCCTTCAGTTTCTAAAAGCAGAACATATTTCTTCTTCCCCCTCATAGGGAGAGGTTATTTATTTTACCAAATGTTATGTAACTACCGGCAGTAGGTACAAGGGCTGGGGGAAAGAACAGGCACTGATCGATTCCCCAATTACCAACCACAGATACGGTACCAACACCCGGTGTGGGCAAGGCGGAAGGGAAAAGTGATGTAAACTCACTGCTTAATTTTGAGTATCGACAGAAACTGAAGAAGTAGTCCAACTACAGAAGTCTGCCATCAGTGGCTGCATTTCAAATGTTTCGCCTAAGAATTCAGCATAAAATTCCCTAACAAGAAAGCTGAGCAGTAACATAACCCTCGCACCTACCCACTTCCAGGGCATTTTGTTTAAGGAGATCTAGATATTGGTGGAAATATACTTTACAGTTTCGTTCTTGTGGGAAGAGAGTGCTAACTTACTGTCACAGAGAAGCTAAAACAAAAAGGACTTAGCAAGCAGTATTACTGAGTTGAATTAGGAATACTGAAAGAAAGGAGACCCCTTCGAGAAGAGAAGCTCTCCAAAAATTTGACTAGCAATTTTTTCTTTTTTTTTTTTTTTTCTATGAAGTCCCTAACACTTTTATAAGTTATTCCCACAGACTTGCTAAAAATCTGCAAGTAATGCTGCTTTTCATGACTTCAGACACACATAAACCCATCTACAGAGGAACATACTTACACCAAGTTATATAAGCCCAGGAGACCCATCCCTCTAAAGTCTGTTTTAGGATCGTCACCTTGGAAACCAATTTCACACCACTGCTTCGAAATCCGAGCTTTCAGTGGCGAATTGGGCTTCAAGCATTTCCACAACTAGGAAGATTACAGGTAAAACATAATTAAACTTCCACACATTAGTACAGCTTTATCTTCTTTTTAAACCAAGCTGAGTTCTGATGTGACATCACTGCATTGCTACCCCAGCAACCCAAATATAAAAATCAAATTAAATTCCTCAGGGTGAGGAGGGTGAGGGGGAAAATCCCAAACCACTCCTAAGTACTGTAGACA